TCGCTGTTATTTCTCTCTGGATAACAGAAAGCAGATACAAAAGAGTATATATTGTGTGATTTCATTTATGTAAAGTTAAAGATTGGGCAAAGTCAATCCATAGGGATAGAAATTAGAATAGTGATTAATTGAAGGTGCTGGATGAGAGGATAAAGAAATCTTATAGGGAGATGGGAATGTTATATTTGAACTGGAGTATGTTCATTAAAACCTACCAAAATATATAAGATCTACACACTTTACTGTAATTATACTCTAATTATAAAAAAGAATATTAAACTTTCACAAGGTTAAAAAATGACATTATAGGCACTTAAAGAATTCATAGTTTCAGTTGATTGGGAGATCTGAACAAAATTTTGATTTATAGGCAAACATACCTTCCTTTGAATGTGATGTTCACAAAGACCAGATAAGATAAGTAATATATCAGACTGGATTTCTAAAAGAATGGCCTCTTCTTTTTCGTTAGGATGGCTTATAATATTTTTAAAGATTCCTGGTATAAAAATTTAAAGAATGTAATGTTATTGGACACTGTTTTTTTAAATTTGGATCAGTCACATTTTGGAAATACTTCCAAAAAATCTCTTCACCTAGGGAAACCATTTTATTTTTTTTTTATTTTTATTTATTTTTATTTTTTGGTTTTTCTCTGGTACCGGGAACCGAACTCACGACCTTGCGCTTGCCAGGCAGGCGCTTTGCCGCTGAGCTAAATCCCCAGCCCCGGGAAACCATTTTAGAGAGGTTATTTTCAATGCATACTGATGCAGAAATTATAGACAAGGGGAGATAAGTGGATTCCTTAAGCTCTCAATACAATCAATCATAGAAGTTTTATAAACATGTGTAAAGCCCCACATATGTAGACAGTCTCAGTACAATTATTAGTTCCACATATATAGAAATTCTAGTACAGAATTAATGTTGTGTCATGAAAAGATTCCCCCACAGCTGAGAGTGGTGGCATACACCTGTAATCCCAGCCATGTGGGAGGCTGAGGCAGGAGGATTGCCAGTTTGAGGCTTGTGTTTCCTAGGTTCAATCCCTAGGAAAGCCTTTGCAAATAATGGCCAAATTTCTGACTGTAGTTTGCCTCATCTCTTCCTTTCTTCCTTTCTTTTTTTCCAATACCAGGAATCGAATTCATGACCTTGTGCTTGCCAGGCAGGCGCTGTGCCACTGAGCTAAATCCCCAGCACCCCTTTCTTCATTTTTAACAAAAGTAGAAGACCTGCCTACGTCTGTTTCTATCTCATCTTTCTCTCTGCATTTTCTCATCTTTCTGAGAATGTCATCAACAACTTTAGGTTGCAGAATTCCATGTCCTTCAAAACCCTTCCCTTCTAATCAACACTAAAAAAGATTTAAAAACAGCGACTATCAGCCACTATCACTGCGGAAATGACATTCACAATGAAATCTGGCCTCAAAAAATGAATTTCACTGGGAATCAAACTCTGGACCTTACGTTCTCCAGGCAGACGCTTGTGCCACAGAGCTATGTCCTCCTGCCCCTTAAGCTTAAAATATTGAACAAAACATTGTTTCCTCTGTTAAAGTGGTCACTGATTTTAGGAGGAAGGCATGAAGGTATGTTCCCAAGGAAACCACAGCTATATCCACAGCTGGCCTTAAAGAACTACTCTTGTCCCTGATGGAATACAGGTGGAGGGCCAGACCCTAGGGAGGAATCTGATGAAGGGCCAGGCCTAGACAGAGGGTGTGCATTCCTTCATCAGGAACAACTTCAAGAATTCTGAGACCAGCCTTGCCCAGGTCTCCTTCTCTTTTTTTAAATGATCTCATTCTGAGTACAGGCTTGAAATTTCCCTGCAGCTGGTAACATATAATACATTCTTACTGGATTATTTTCTTCATATTCAGGTATCCTTTAATTCTTTGCCTTACCCCTCCCCTTATTCTATTCCAAGTCATGCTATTTCTTCCAGATTCTTCTTCCTCAAACACATATTGTATAGATAGCCTGATTAATCCAAACTTAGGTAATATATGCTTTTCTCCTGGTACACGTGCTTTTCCTTAGTTATCTCAGGGACAGGGTCTCTAGTGTCCTGATATATACATGTTTGTGATCCCAGTGTCTATGCAGAAATTATACTTACACAGAAATTGCATTTACAACTTATAATGCAATTACTGTTTTTTGAGCAGGTCGCTACTGTACTCCACAGCTGTTAGATTAAAAAAGGTAGAGCTCCCTGCCTCTGTGAACTCATGTGATAAAGATCAGCTTCTTACTAGTTAAAGGAAAAAGGCAGACATTTTTGCCTACTCCCTTTTCAATACACTTTCATCTCCCTTACTAGCATTGTAATTGGAGGGCTCTATCCCTTTCTACGAATGTTGGATGAAAAGGTAGAACAGTTGTGCAGCAGGCATTTGTAACTAATGGATAGCTGGCACTGCTTTAATTGGGACCTTGACTGCCCTCACAGGCTGCTGTGTTGGAAGGCTTTGATGCTACTGGGAGGTAGGGGCTGAGGGAAGGAAGGAAGGAAGCAAGCTCACAGAGGGCCTGACCCCTTCCTCTTCCTCGCTCTCTCTCTCTTACGTCTGGCCACCATGCGGTAGTAGCTTCCTCTTCAAGTGCTCCCACCACGATGAACCGCCTCATTACAGGACCAAAAGCAAAAGCCAACTGACTCCAGACTGACACTTGTGAAACTGAGCCAAACCACACCTTTGCTCCTCATAAGTTCATTTATTTCAGACATCATTTGTCACAGTAATGGAAGTTAACACGATCAGGTTAGAGCCATCCCTCTGTGTCTTTGTGTGACTGGTTCCAGAATCCCCTTGGTTACCAAAATCCATGGATGTCCACATCCCTTGTATATATTTGCATATAAACCAAACATATCTTCCTGTGTACTTTAAATAATCTCTAGATTACTTATAATACCTAATACAATGAAAATGTTATATCGCTTAGGGAATAATGACAAGAAAGAAACACTGTACATTCCCAGTTCAGTCATAGTATTTATTTCTGAACTATTTTTGATGTGCAGTTACTTGAAGCCCTGCACGCAGAATCCAACAGTATGGAGGGCCAACTGCACATGATTTATATGCAGTCACTGACTGTGCGTGATTGAAACAACTCTGACTTTTCAGACTGGGAAAGGGGAGGGCTGGAGAGCTACTCTACATTCTAAAAGGTCAATCAGTTTTTGTTTAGGGATTCTGAATTTTACACTGAGCTTACATGTACACAGTTCAAGGAACAAGGGGGCTTACCACAGTCAGCTGCAAACTTACACGCTAAGTACCTGTGTGCTAACGTGGCGAATGCAATCGGAAATATAATGTCATCCTCTTTTAAAATGGCTCTGGAATGCTTGGCCAAAAGTAGTGATCATATTATTAGACAAATGAAACACCACAATGCCCTAAAAAGATAACCATAGATCAAATGATCTCTGAGTGGAGGAAACCAACGTTTAAAGGAATAATGATGCCGGGCGTGGTGGGGCACGCCTGTAATCCCAGCACTCGGGAGGCTGAGGCAGGAGGCTTCTTGTGAGTTCGAGACCAGCCTGGGCTAGAGTCAGCTCAAGGCCAGCCTCAACTGCAGAGTGAGACCCTGTCTTAAAAAAACAAACAAAAAAAAACACACAAAAAGGAATAATGATGATGAGATTTCACTAAGAAGAAAATGTGAACAAAGATCAAGAAAATATTCAGGAGTTTCTCAGCCATAAAGATGAAATAAATTTGTAGAAAAATATTTCAAACAAAATCTCTTATATATGTGATATATATATATGTGTATATATATATATATATATTTTTTTTTTTTTTCTTTTACCGGTAACTACCACATTAAACTTTACCTATCAATTGCTGAATTGTTCCCTTTTCACAAAGATCTGCATTCACAGTCTCATTTTCAAGGTGGACCATGGCTCTCAGGAGTCTTAAAGTGTAACGCATCTGTGCAAACTTGTTGCCACGGCCACTGGTACCATGGAAACTGTTACCATGACTAAAGAAGGGATCTGTGGAGAAAAATTAATCATTTATTTTATATCAAAGAATTTAAAATATAAAACATTTCAAATAAACAATGTGTCAGGTACATAAGTTTATTGTTGTGTTTTATTTTTGGTTTTGTTTTTTTTTTCCGGTACTGGGAATCGAACTCACGACCTTGCGCTTGTCAGGCAGGCGCTGTGCCGCTGAGCTAAACCCCCAGCCCCTGGGGTACATAAGTTTAAACAGATGTCAAAATGTTGCCGTATTTCTTCACTGTGTAGAAAATATCCTATCCCCCTCTTCTATTCTCAGATTGAAATATGTGCCCTAAAATTTTACTCAAAAATATATTTTATGTATGTTTTGTAACTTTCAGATATGCAATATTATGTTTTGAAAGTTATTCTCATTGTCATAAGTAGACCTAGATCAGTCATTTTAATTGCATTCAGTATTCACTGTATAAATGAATCACAGTTTATCTACCTACTAGTATAAACTGCCATGATAAACATTCTGGGTCATGTTTGCTTTACGCTGAGGGGTTTTTCCACGTGACACCAGGACCACCATACTCACTGAGGATGAGCAAGTTGCCAAATTGTTTCCCAAGGTTTAACACTGGATTGATTTTTTTTCAAATCGGTTAAGTGTGAAACTGTAGTTCATTTTTATCTGAATTTGTATTTCAAATGGCAAGTGATTCCAGGATTACTAATAGGACTGAAGGTTTTAAATGTTTTTGGAAAAATTCAAGATTTTTTTTCTGTGACATGTTAGTCCCCACCCTTTGTATAACACTTTAATGAATTATCTTCTTATATATTAAGAGCTGTCTATGAATTTAGATTTTAATTCTTGACCAGTCACAGGGGTAGTAAATGTCTTCTCTCAAACTGTATTTTTGTAAATTTTTTTTTTTTTGTCTTTTTGAGACAGGGTCTCACTATGCAGTTCAGATTGGCCTTGAGCTCACTTTGTAGTCCAGGCTGGTCTGGAACTTGCAACGATCCTCCTGCCTCAGCCTCCCAAGTGCTGGGATTACAGGCATGTGCTACCATGCCCGGCTTCTCTCAAATTGTAGATTGATATTTTATTCCGATTTTTGTCATACAACCATTTTGAAACTTTACGATTGTCAAATATATCAATTTTTCCCTGTATAGCTTAAACTTATTCTTTTTAAAGAAATCTTTTCTAATAGCAGTATCTATAGTAAAGATATTTTCCCATGTTTTCTTTTAAAAGTTTTACAGTTTAAACTTTTCCTATTTAAATCTTTAACTCATTTTGCTATTTATCTTCTTTTTAGCAAAGTGGAAGGATCTAATTTTCACCTTTTTACACTGGGGACAACTATTCAGTATCCTTCACTCACTGATTGCAAAAATGGTCTCTGAAAATGAAATGTCAGTGTTCCATATATCCCCGTTCACTGGCCCAGTACCACACACTTCATTACTATGGATATATGAAAAATGATCCACTATAGCTTGGTAAAAAAGCAAGGCAAGTCTTTCCTTCTTTAAGTTTTCTTTAAAAGTTTCTTTAAAAAGTAGCTTTATGCTTAAAGCTTAAAAATTTCAAATACTATACTTGCCTGAGTATTGGGTGTTGGCTAAATGTGTGGGTTTTGGAACCTGAGTTAAAACTTTGCTTTGCTACTTACAGTGTGGCCAAGAACAAGTTACTGAATTTCAGAGATTGAGTTTTACCCATCTCCAGGTTTTTCAGGTGGACTAAGGTGTTTAAGATCTAGCATATAGTAGATACTCAACAACTGTTAGCTATCTGTGCTCTCTGAGTAGGCAGTATTTTTTTGTTTTGCAGTCTTCTGTAAACATAAATGATGTAAATATAGACAAATAATTGTTTTGTTTAGTGAAAAGTGACTTAAATTTAGTAACTCTATATGTTAGAAACATGAAAATAAGGTAAAACTTTTTACCTGTTTTATGAATAAATGAGTAATACTGTTTCAAAATTTTTATTGGTGCATGTTTATAGTACATAATGTTTACTTTTTTGTGGGGAGTTGGTCCATGTATATAATACCTCTTAATTTTTCAGAATCCTCTTTCCCTTCTCAATCTCTCTCTCTCTCTCCATCCATCTCTTGATCCCCTTCCCTTTTTTGGACATGAATGCAATAAATAATACAGAATATCCTTTTTTGAGGTGGGTTCTAGGTTGCCCAGCTGGCCTCAAACTTATGAATTCAAATGATCCTCACGCTTTAGCCTGCCAAGTAGCTGGGAGCACACACACACACGTATCAACACACCTGGCTATTCCTGATGTTACACAAATGCACCATACAAAATTATTTAAGAGCAAAATTGCTAGCAGAAAAGAAATAGTGCCTGGTGTGGTGGTGCATGCCTATAATCATAGCACTTGGGAGGCTGAGGCAGGAGGATTCCCAAGAATTCAGGGCCAGCCTGGGCAACATAGTGAGACTCTATCTCAGAAACAAAAAAGAAAAGAAAAGAAAAGAAAGAAAAAGAAACAGTATTTTTCTGACAAATTTTAAAATATATGAATATTTAAAATATTTACATATTTCCTCTCCAAGAATTGAAATAATACACACTATGCTCTGCTAACTTGATAGATTATATAGGGAGTTATTACTTTTGGCTAGAAATCTATATTTTAAACTCCATGAAGGTAAGGATTTTTATTTCAAATATAAATGTATTTTGAGCAGCTAAAATAGTATCTAGCAACTAGCAGACAGTAAGGAAACACTTGTTTAATGAATGTAATAAAACATGGCCAGGATTCATTTCCTTCTAAATATAATTTTTGGAGAGGCCTAATAGAACAAAAATTTAAACCAATTTATATCATGATTTAGGCATGTATCAACTATTGTTATAACATTTACTAACATCTGACTATGAAATCTCAATTTTTTTAATATTAAAAGGACAGAGTTACATATTTTTATTTCTTGTCACTATAACTTTATATATATTGAGAATTGAGAAAATAGGTAGATTCAGTTTTGGCCAGACTCCTGAAGGGACGCTCACCTTCACTCTCACACCACTCCAGAAACGCCAGGACACGGGCGTTTCCCTGGCACGACAAGTACTCTTCTATTAGCAAGGGAGCAACCGAGGACAAAGTCGCGATCGCATGCAGTTGTAATTCTTCGTACTGTGCTGCAGACCATTCCATCACTTTGTGTTTCTCAGGCTTTTTAACATAGGTAAGTAGAGCCAAAACAACTTTGCCATCAATTAACAGCTATGAGAAAGGACCAAAGACACTTTGTTAGACACATAATTAACAACTTTATTTAATCTAAGAAAATTAAAGAGGTCAAATTTTGTAGTTTGTTGATGATCATTTCTTTTTTTTTTTTTTTTTTTTTTGGTGTTTTTGTGACATTGTCTCACTATGCAGTTCAGGCTGGCCTTGAGCTCACTTTGTAGCCCAGGCTGGTCTTGAACTTGCAACGATTCTCCTACTTCAGCTTCCCAAGAGCTGGGATTACAGGCCTGCGCCACCACACCAGGCTATCGATGATCATTTCAAAACATTCCCTTTCTAAATATCACATATATGGCAGGTACCAAAAACACACAGAAACAAAAACTCCAAACAAAACAGTAACAGTAACGGGCAATTATTTTGTCTCTCTGGCTTACATATATATAATTTAGCTTCTGCTTAGGATAAAACCATATAAGTGGAAAATTTGAAGCAAATAAACCTTGGCATTTCCCCCCTCTGCCTTTTTGAAGGAATTTTGGGGGGTGCAGGGGGTCAGCCTCATGGTCTCGTGCATGCTATGTGATATTCTACCAACATACTATACCCTAGCCCTCAAAAGAAACATCTCATAGACTCATTGTGTACCTTAAGAGGCAATTTTTCTAAAGTAATGACTATAGCTAATCTTTAACCACACACAAAATAACTTCTCCAAGTGTTTCATCAAGTGAATGTCAGGTGGGTTACAAGCTGTGTTTAATTATATGCCTCGTATTTTAAAATTTTCTTGTATCTAGCATTTCTTTTTTTGTTTTTTTTTTGGTTTTTCTCTGGTACCGGGAACTGAACTCACGACCTTGCGCTTGCCAGGCAGGCGCTTTGCCGCTGAGCTAAATCCCCAGCCCCGAATCTAGCATTTCAATAAAAATAAAATAAGAATGCATAGCTATTATAAAATGACAACAGAGGTAATATAGCTGATTCTGATGGATCATAATTATAATTAATGAGCATAAAGTATGTGCAATATTATACTTAATTTTCCACTAATTTGACATTGTCCTATAGGTTTTTCCAAAATAGCAATTATTAATTTTTCTAAATTCTCTAAGTAGTCCACTAGCCTCTCACTTTAGTGTAATATGGGAAGGACACAAGATTTAGAGTTGAGAGAAAAGGACTAACCCCTCATTCCAGCATCACTGTGAGAATTAAGCTGATGATGATTACGAAGGGCTCTGTGAACTGCAAAGATCGTATGTGTTATCAACTCGATAATGGACTCTGCTGTCTGTGAAATGTTCAGTCAACTAAAACTGGCTTATAAAGTGTAGGGCAAATTTTATTTATTCCCTTGTATCTGTCATTTTCAGTTATATAACACTCTACTGTAATAATAAATCATATTTTATGGAATGATTTTCTATTTGGTATTTTAGAAAATATGCTTAGGATCTATACATTATATATTTGTGATACTAATAATAAAGTTATAACTCTAGGCACAATTTCTTTTTCTAAGCATTGAAAAAAAATATATATATATATATTTCTCGAAGAGTCCACACACACCAAAAAAATGCTGGGTTCTTCAGATCCTCATAATAACTCCACGATGATATTTTAGTTCCATGTGGAAGGTGAGCTACCTAGAATTTACAGAAATTTAAAAACGTCTTCCAGGACATATTCCAGGAAAACAACAGCACTGGAATTCTGCCTGACTAAAGCCTTACCACACTGTACTGTACCACATTTATGTTATCAGTATTGATATGGGTAGAATGAATTTCCCTTTATTTTTATGAAAAGAAAAAGAGCTTTAAAGACTTTTAGGACTAAAAGGAAATTTTAATTAATGTAGTAACTAAGCCAATAGAACTGTAATATAATTTTCTGTCCCTTTAGTTTATGAAACCTTCATCTCAACCTCACACAAGCCCTATGAGCGAGGCAGATGTTTCCTGATCTTTCCCCTCAGAGGAGAACTGAACCTCTGGAAGCGTAGGTAATCTGCTGAGGCCACACAGTTAGCAGGTGCTACGTGAGAAGTGAAATTCAGTTCCGATTCTCTTCAAATCTCATTATGCTGTTATATAGGAAATAAAGTACTAATTTAATCTATACATAATCAAAACCTTAAAGATATTAGGCTTGTGTAAAGAAAAAGGGGGTTCAAGCTGGTTGTGGTGACACACACTTGTAATCCCAGTTCTCTGGGAAGCTGAGGCAGGAAGATCACAAGTTCAAGTTTTGTCTGACAATTTAGTGGCTGAGTTAGAACTTGTCTCAAAATAAAAAATAAATGGCTGGGGACATAGCTCAGTGTAAAGGCCCTAGGTTCAAACCCCAGAAAAGAAGAAAAAAGAAAACGCAAGTTCATAAGGGATTGAAGTTGGTGATACAGAGGTTACCAATTTATTTTAGCTTTAAGTTGTCCCTTGTCATTATCAGAAACAGATGCACAGGCCTGGATGAACTTCTTTCCTTTGGTGTTACCCTCTCCAGGAGCTCTAATAAATATTCATACATCAGCAAATTTCTTAGTTTCTGCTGTTTTCCTTTGGCTTATGTGGTTTAAATTTATTTCACTGTTTATTAACAGGTAAGAAAAGGAAATTTAAAATTTGTTCTCTTGGTTTTTGAGACATGGTCTCACTATGTAGTTCAGGCTGGCCTTGAACTCACTATACAGCCTAGGCTCGTCTCGAACTCACAAGGATCCTCCTGCTTCAGCCTCTTGTTGGTTTTTCTCTGGTACCAGGAACCGAACTCATGACCTTGCGCTTGCCAGGCAAGCGCTTTTGCCGCTGAGCTAAATCCCCAGCCCCTGCTTCAGCCTCTTGTGTGCTGGGATTATAGGTGTGAGCCACCATGCCTGGTGCAAGTTTTTTAAAAAGCTGAAATTCAAAGCAAGAGGAGTATGTTATTTTTCATGGTAAAGATATGGACGGACGAAATATTTAGTCATGACTTTGAAAAGGTTCTGTTACAAAGTGAGATGACCTGTATTTTCTCATTTTGTTTATTCTTTACCTGTACAGTAGGCAAATCTTTACATAAGATCACAATTATGTTGAATAGCAATTTCTTCAACTCAAAATCTTCATAGGAATTAGACAGCTTAAGACCTTTTACCAAAGGGTTTTGACTCTTAACTGTAAAGAAAAAAATAAAATAAAATGATATATAAGATACATGAGGACAATTACCAGAATTTTAAAGTTTTATGTTTTTTTACCTTCATTAAAAGTTGTAAACAGGATCAGATCTCTGGTAAAGCCACATTCCTAATATCAAAATACAAAACATTCAGAAAGATGAATTATTTGGGATGGAAACTGTGATAAAGACATTCAATTTATGTATCACTCCATTTATGAAATTTATGTACTGTAATTCATTTAAATTTATAAGTACTAATACTAGGAAAGAATAAAGTAAGAAAATAAAAGCACATAGTTAGCCTTGTATTTTACTTAATTTTAAATTTGCTTCTGTAGGTTCTAAAAAGTATGTTACATTATTCTACAAATATTTTCCAGGAGATGGTTTAAAAGTTATTTATTTATTTATTTTTGAGACAGGGTCTCACTATACAGTTCAGGCTGGCTTGAGCTCACTTTGTAGCCCAGGCTGGTCTAGAACTTGCAGTGATCCTCCTGTCTCAGCCTCCCAAGTGCTGGGATTACAGGTGTGTGCCTCCATGCTCGGCTGGTTTAAAATTTAATAAGAACCCAAAGTGTGTCAGGCCTATACAATTATTTCAGGAGCTCATTATCTATACCTTTAAGTGAACAAGTAGAGACTGAAGGGAAGTGAGAACTCTGAAAGATGTAAATGGCACTATGTACATTCCTATTCTCCCTTTTAAAAAAACAAGCGCAGGCCCTACCTGGTAGCTTGCGCGGACACTAAAATTCTGAGTATACCTGAAGTCTTAGTGGCCTGAAGAATCAGACAACAGAGATAACCGTAGTCACAGGACAGTAAAGGGTGAAAATCCCACAAAGGAGAGAACTATGGAGGCGGAACCCCAATTACTGAACGTAAACCCTTCTCAAGTCACAGGCTGATGTCTAGGCGCACAAGAGCAGAGAACTCTCAGTCAGGCAAGAACAACAGAACTGGGATCTGAACTCTTCACCACAGGCATGTCTCCACTAATTGTTATGGTTCGGGTCTAGATGTCTCCCAGAGCCTCATGCAGTCATGGGTTTTTTCAGAAGTGGCTGAATCCCGAGTGTGTGATGCTGGGATTAAGGGTGTGTGATTAGTAAACTGGCCCACTGATTGGACTGGCACAACCCTAATCTTCATAGACCGGGTACAGTACAAGGGGCAGAAAGAGGCTTCTCTCTCTCCTGCCTCACTGCTTTGGTACCTTGTGGGCACCATGGACGCTTCTCTGTGATGTCTGTCTGCCACGTCACCTTGCCTTGGAGCCAGCCGATGATGGACTGAAACCTCTAAATGGACCAACTTGGAGCTGAGTAAACCTTTCCCCCTTTAACTCTGGGTGTCAGGTGTTTTGTCTCAGCAACAAAGAAAGTAACTAAGACAGTACTTAAATGCTTATTAATAATAAAAACTGTTCCTAGGAGTTGTATATCAGAGCCTAGAGTAAGGATGCTCATACTGAATGAAAACACAGCAACTCTCTGTAGAAAACAGAAACTATACAAAGAAACTAAAAGGAAATTATAAAAATAAAAGACATATCTAAATTAAAAAATATACAAGCCAGACGTGGTGACACACGCCTGTAATCCTAGCACTCGGGAGGCCGTGGCAGGAGGATCGTAGCAAGTTCAAGGCCGGCCTGGGCTACAAAGTGAGCTCAAGGCCAGCCTGAACTGCATACGCAAGACCCTGTCTCAAAAAGACAAAAAAATTATATATATATATGATTAGTAATAGAAAAAAAAGAAGCCAGTGATTTTAAATACTTACATTAAAATAATTAATAATAAAAAATGATTGAAGGAGAATAAACAGCCTTACAAACTATGAAACAATATCAAAATGTCAAACATACAAATAATTGGAGTTCTAGCATACAGAGACACAAGAATGGGGTTTTAAAAATATTTAAAGAAATAATGACCACAAATTCTCCCTATCTGGTTATAGACTTAAATTTATACACCGAAGAGCTCCATGAAACACAAAAACAAGATAAATATGAAGGCGATCACATCTTGGGACAACCTCTGGAAACCAAAGGTAGAGTAAAAAAGCTCAAAAATAGCCAGAGCAAAAAAATGATACTCTGCACAAGGGGAAACAATTTGGAATAACAAGCACTTCTCACTGGAAAAAAATGGGAAACCAGAAATCAGTGGAACATCATCTTTAAAGTTCTACAAAAGATTTTTTCAGCCTAGAATTCTATATTCAGCGAACGTACACTTTAAGGATGAATGTGAATTAAAGATATTTGCAGATAAAAGAAAGCTATCAGCCTGTTGAGAGCAGCCAGCACGTTTGCATCAGCAGAAAAGGTAAAGGGAGTTCTGCCTGGGAAAGAGAAATGGTGCCAGAGGGAGACTCCTCATCAGGGGAGGAAGGAAAGAAAAGCCTCACAAAGGGTAGATCTGTGTGTGAATGATAAAACATGAGGTGTATTGAAATTTTCTGAAGGAATGCAAAGGACTGGCACAGTGAAAGTATAACGGTGACCATCATGACATTACAATATGACTTGGCCTTACAAAAAATACATAAATATTACAACATAATTTCAGACTTCTGGCTCCCATGCCCACCACCTCTGCAATTAAAACAGATACAATTTGACTTATACTTACAATCATTGGTGCTCCCTGGTTTTGAGCTATAATTGTAGTGATCACTAATATGTCATTTCTAAGCTGGCGATCATAATGACTGAAACCTCTCATAAACAGATTTTTAAATACTTCCTTCAGAGTCCTAGAAAATAAAACCGTTATTTTAAAAATACTGTTGTTATGGATTCAATGTTGTGTTCCTCCAAAATTCATACAGCATCATTAGGAGATGGGACCTGTGGAGGTGATTAGGTCATGAGGGGTAGACCCCTTGCAAATGGGATTAGTGCCCTTATAGTAGGAACCCCAGAGGGCTCCTTTGCACATCTTTTTCCATGTGAAGAGACAGGAAGTCAGCAGTCTGTGGCTGAGAAGAGACACCATCTGTACCCTGATCAAGGGGTCTAGTCTCCATAACTGGGAGAAATAAATTATTGTTGTTTACAAAACACTCAGTCTGTGCTACTTGTTACGGTGACCTGAACTATAGAAATACTGTGTCTATCAACAAAGTCTTCCTCTTGTCAAGGCATCTTAGGTCTTTGATGTTATGGTTCCCTGTTAATCTTTACTAACACTGTTAGCCTCATCTCTTACCATTCTACCCTGGTTTTTTTTTTGCCTTACTACAATGAATTTAAGTTTTTTGATTTTGCTAAATTCCGTTTTCATTTCTTCCCCTACTCCCCATCTAGGGTGCTCTCTGCATGCAAAATTTTTCTGTGTTGCCAGTTCCTATTTACTACTCAGATAGTAGGCTAAGGTTCATCAGGAAGTGCTTATTAATTCTTCAAGTCTGGGTCAAGTTGCTACTCAAGTAGACAACTGTAACTTTGCCTCTTGGGACCAACTTTCACTTTTCATGCTCACAGTATCCTTGTCTCTATTTAGGGATTGACTTATCCTTAACTTTTGGCCCTGTGCAGCTGCCTTCAGATAGACAGACAGACAGATAGTTAGATAGATCTATTTCAACCATAAGGATAATGACATTTTGTCACTTGCAGGAAAATGGGTGTGTCTGGAAACCACCATGTTGCATAAATAAAGCAGACTCAGAAGGACAAATATTGTATGTTTTCCCTAATATGTGGAACCAAAAAAAAAAAAAAAAAAACCCATGAAAGTAGAAGGAAGTCTATTGTTAGGCGAAAAGGTTAAGTGGAAGGGAAGTGGAAGGGAGGGTAGTGGGGGATGGATATGATCAAAATATATTATACACATTTAAGCCAGGCATGGTGGTGCATAGCCGTAATCCCAGCACTCTGGGAAGCTGAGGCAGGAAGACTGTAAATTTGGGCCTAGCTTAGGCAACTTACCGAGACCTTGTCTCTAAATAAAAAAGGACGAGAGATATAACTCAGTGCAAAGGCCCTAGTTTCAATCCTCAGTACCGTTAAAAAAACAAAACAAAAAAACTGCATTGAAACAAAAAACAGTAGCAATAAAAGTAAGTAAGCCTACAAGTTTATTATTCATTTATTCAATCAATGATTACTGTCTGCTCTGTGCCAAGTTTAGGACTAGGCTATAAAAGTACAACTGGAAAAAATACAGCCATGCTCTCTACTTTCATGGTATTTACATTATACTAGAGAAAAAGGACAAGTAAATAGACAACTAAGAAAAAGTGTACTAAATGTTATGAAAGAAATTACCCTAAAGTGCTGACTATTCACAAGAGGCTGTCTTTTCTTCAAGGAATATTTTTTAGTTCCTTTGTCCAGAATTAGAGGGCTGTGATTGCTTGAGTTTGTTTCTGTGAAGTCCATTCTGTTTTATTCGTCTACATTTTTATTTTTATGCCAGTACCGTACTGTTTTTGATACTATTGCTTGGTAGTATAATTTTAGATTGGGTATTATGCTGCCTCCAGCCTTGCTCTTTTTGCTTAGGATTATTTTTGCTATTCTGGGTCTTTTGTGTCTCGATATGGATTCTGTAATTTTTTTTTCTACTTGTATGATGACTGCCACTGGAATTTTGATAGGGATTGCACTGACTCTGTAGATTGCTTTTTTTAAAAAAAATTTTTATTTTAAAGAGTAAAAGAAGGATAACATAATAAGGGGGTGGGCTTATCAAATTACAGACAAACTGGTAGGAAATTATCAATGGTTATTGTTTTACATATTGTTATTGTCGATTGCTTTTGATAACTGGCCATTCTGACAATATTAAGTCTGCCAATCCATAAACATGGGACGTCTTTCCATCTTCTGGTGTCTTCTTTAATTTCTTTCACAATATTCTGACATTTTCATTGTAGAGATCTTTTACCTCCTTGGTTAGATTGATCCCTAGTTATTATTTTTTTGAAGCTATTGTGAATAGAATTGTTTTCCCAATTTATTTCTGTTAGTCCATTACTTGTGTTTAGAAAAGCTATTTGTTGTTGATTTTATATTCTGCTGTTGCTGATTTTTCTCGAAGTATTTGGAAGACAGTAAGCCCTCTACAAGAGATTCACTGAATAAGTGAAATAATTCTTCTAAATGTCTAATTTTACTCTATACACATGCAAAGGCATAATTTAGCCTTAACAGGCTATTTTAAAAGCCTTCCACAAAGAAAAGCATGGCTTCTTCCTCCGGAGACCCAGAGGATCTATTGTTATTCAATAGTGCACACACAAAAATGTCCTGAAACATAGCTAGGGGATTAATCAGACAGGCACTCCCAATGGAATAGGGAGTCAAAGATGTTAGTTACATCTCTGGCTACTTTTTTTTTTTAAGGATAAAAGATGCTCCTATTCAGTCGCATATACATACATCAAACATTCCAAGGTACTAAGCTGCTGTATGATTTCCTCTTTTGGAGACTTTTCCAGTAAGTTCCAAAGTATTTCTGATGAACGAAACAGGAGCTGTCCAGAGGGATCTGGGTCATTGAGGTGAACACAGATTTCGCTGGCTGCTTGAGCTTTCACCATTAAAGCACAATTAACTTCTAAAAAGAAATTTTAAAAATTATGTTCTATAGCCTTTATATTGTTGAATGGGAACAAAAATAATTGTCAATAAGGTATTCCAATTTAATAACAGGATACAAACCAGAAGTTGAGAGATGCTGCAGAACTTTAAGCACCCAAAGTTTCTCAATGAGTTGATTTTCAAGCAAGGCCATTGACTGAACCATTGTTTTGGCCAATCCTCCGACCTCAGCCATTTTAGCCTTGTATGATGAACTAGCTTGCTGGTAACCTAACACAGTTAGTAAATCTGTATGGTTATTCCACACAATGATAATTAAGACAAAGGAATGATTAATTTGTTACTTAATGGTAATAATAACAACTTTATGAAAACATATGGTATTTAAAAATTAGCATAGATTTGGGCAAACTTTTCCTTTAAAGGACCAGCTAGTATGCATTTTAAATACACAGGTTTCTGTCTTCTTAATTAGAGTGTTGTATCATGTAACAACATGATACAACATGTTGAGAAGACCGCCATAAACAACACCATAATTAAGGTGTATAGCTGTGTTCCAGCAACACTTTATTTGCAGTGCTGAGGTCCACAGTTTGCTGATTCCTGGAGTTGCATTTGAAATAAGATCTCAAAGTACATCTCAGCCTCTAAAAGAGACAACATTTCTTATTTCTCAATAGATATAACTTTCTGGTAAAAGGAAATGAGGTGATTACAAATACTGAATGTTTTCCCTATTCAAGACAGTGCCTTACTTTGGTGCTTTCAAAGGACAACAATCACATGCTGTCGGTGGTCAAATAAGAGCAAAAATACAATGCTGCTTTGATAAATGGTCATGAATGAAATGGTATTTTGGGAAGACTGATTCTTGGAATGTCTCACAAGAACTTCCTTCTGCCTTAAGTTCTGTTGCAGTTGGACAGGTGCCCGGCTAATTACATTTTAGTCCAAAGGATCAAATAAATAAATAAATACTTGCTCATCTGAGATAAGACTCTCTTCTCTTTTGGTGATCTCACTTATCTAATTCCCTGAACAGCTTGTCTTTTGAGACTGATTAGATTCCTTAACTTTGCAATATTTGCTTTCCTGTAATTTCACCATCTAGAGTTAACATTACTGTTTTAAAATATTTCTTGCTGAGATTTTTGACTTATGCACAGAATCTTATGTTCTACCCTAGGCCACTAAATTTGTGATAAGCTTTTCCCTAAGCTATAAATTATTTCCCCCAATCATGATTTTATTTGTATAATAGTCTATTATATGGATAGTCAAAATGTGCTTTATATTTGCTATGTATTTTTTTTCTATTGAGTTTATGTTTCCATAGAAGGACATGATAACTCAAAGGCTCATGGACTTGATTCCTATCTCCGGAGCTTTGTCTCTTCCAACTGCTCTAGTGTGGAATTTGTAGCTGTGGTTCCAGAGGTACCCCCATGCCCATCATTTGAAACCAACTCTGTGACAGACAGAACACTCTTTATGACTCTCAAGAACTCCTGTGTTAACTGGTGCACCACTAGCTTCCTTTTTTTTTACAAAGGGTGTCTGTATTCTGCAAGCTTGTGCTCTTAATTGTAACTTCTCATACCTTTTTCTTTTCCCAGAATTGTGCCCTCTCATTTCCCACTCACTAAATTCTAGCTCCTTTGTCTAAAAAAACTTTATTTCTCTACCTTAAGAACAATAAAACCCAAATAACCTTTCTTTAACTTTGCTACCAGTTAAGCTATTTTCCATCTTGCTTCTTTACAATTTGACCTTAAAATACAAGTCCGTGTTCATGAACTAGCTGTGCTCCTTCCTTCTCAAACTTGCTGTCTCTACTCTCCTAGCACTACCATTCTCTAGCCTTGCATCTGCTAGGACTACTAATTTTTAAATATATAAGAAAAAATAATTTTATTAGAAAATTTAAGTAACATAAATAAAAACTATTATAAGCTTATTTACATGTGAGTTAATTAAGTCATAAATATCTGGCAATAAAAATCTCATGGAAACCCCCAACCTATATATATATATAATTTTGAAAGATGATTGAAGAGGTCAAGACTACAAAAAAAGATCCAAGAGTTTTTAGTGCACTAGGTTGGTGAGCCCTTTGTGTCTTCCCAGTTCAGAGGGAAATGAGATGACAGATCAATGAGACTTCACCTGGAATATGCTTCTTTGGTGGTTCTGCATGATAAAAGTTGACAATACACTTACAGATTTGTATCCTCAATTCAGAACTGGGTATTTTCATTAAGTCACCTGCCAGAAGGATAAAGGAATGCTATGTGATAACACTGCTGCAGATTCTTTGCAAAGTTAAAGCACAAAATATTATAAGAAACATTCCCATCGGAGATTCAACCTGGAAGCCATAACTTTTACCACGGCATGCATACTCAGTCATGCATCACTTAATGATGGGATACATTCTGGGAAATGTGTCATCAGGCAATTTCATTATGTGAACATCAGAGAGTGTACGTAGGCAAACAGAAGATTAAATCAAGTGCAAGAGAAAATGGTGCAATCAAGAGTCACGGTAAACACCAGATGTAGAAGGCTGCTGCTGGCATAACATGCTATGCTGCTTTATAGTTAACTTTTCTTTAATAAATAGAAAGAATATGCTCTGAGTGATAAAAATATAGTAGTAAATTCATAGGCCCACAATACAAGTGTTCATTATCAAGTATGTATTGTACATGATTGTACAAGTGTGCACTATACTTTTGTACACCTTGAAATGCAGGTTTATTTACACCAGCATTATCACAAACATGGGAGTAATGACATATGCTAATTTCATGCTAAATTTTAATTCTATGGTACCACCCATCTGATATATATGCGATCTGTTATTGACTGAAATGTGGTGATATGGTGCATGACTACATATGCAAACATACACACACATACAATGACAACCTGAGTTTATCGTTCTACATTGGGCCCCTCATTCAATTCATCAGAACAGAATAATGACTGCTAACATAAATGCTGAGCCAGACTAAGATGAAATTCTGGCTCTACTATAATTACTATCTGCGTAAACTTGTGTCTTAGCTGTCTTATCTATTAAATGAGTATAACAATATAGCTACAGTACATCTGAGGTCACGAGAATCAGATGAGTTAGCACAATGAGAAAAGTGCTGAGAATGGCACCTAGCATGTATCTGGCATATCTAGTAAGCGCTACCTGTATTAGCTGCTATCTCCAAGGCATAGGCTAGCATTTTTCTTTTCAAGTTGCTGCTCAGCAACTGGCTGCCATTAGTAATGCATCATATCCCTAAAGTTCCAGGTGAGCTCCCTCTTCATTTTGCTGGCAGGCTAGAAGAAAGACCGTTCAGGAATCTTTGCCCAGCAAAAAATAGTTTTACGTTCAAGTTACTGGGGTGGGGTTGGAGAATAGGGAAGGTTCCTTTTCAGCCATATATAAACTACTACTGAACTAGCCTTAGCTTGTACAGTAATTTAAACCATATTAATGTACAGGGATGATCCTCAGGGGAACCTGAAGATAATCTGTGCGGCTCTGCAAGTGACCTGTGCCCTTGGGATGCCTGAGGACAACAGGAATTGTAGCATTTGTGTTAGGATCGAACCCAACCTGCTTGGACTCTCTGTGAGCCAAAGACTGAGAAGGCTGATCTTCCCCCAAGACCTGAGTTTTGGCATAGGTCTTGTTAGCATTCATGTCTAGGAGCGGTCGGCAGTGAGGAAACAAGAAGACAAGGAGGGGACACAAGGGAAAGCCTCAGTCTTGATTAGGGAGAATTTGTTTGCAGAAGATGTCACTTTAGAAAAGTAAAGGTTATTCCCCCAATTTTACTTTTCAGACCCTTCTTTTGGAGTTAGGAAATCACTATGGTTTGAAAAGCATTAGGTGACAAGAACAATTAAACATTTCAGACAAAACTAGCCAACCATGCAAATTTATGGTAAATTCTAGGGTTTTTCATCTGCTTCTCCACCATTTTAGTCCTTGTAAATGTAAACCATTTCTCACAACTTTGGTCAGACTTCTTTCCTTACACATTTCTGGAATTCGGCTCTTGAATTACAAATATCTATATATAATTTCGAAGAAAATATAACTTACTAGTACATAGTAGAAACTGGAAGTTATTGTAACAGTCATAAATAGCCTCTGTTCAATACTTCATACTATATACAAGTATTTTAGTTTAAACTCATGCTTCCAAGAATTAAAAAAAAAAACAGATGAGTAGCATTTGCAGTAAGCAATCAATGAAGGGATCACACATTAAGCTGAGAGTTCATATTGCCATCAAACAGTAATATGTTTTATTGGTAGACAGTCATTAAGGAGAGTAGGCTGACAATAAGAAATGGCCATGTGTTTATCCTGCAAATTTCTGCCAACAGTTTTGGAGGCAGTATTTTAAAATAAGGAGGGCAACAGAGACATTTTAAAAATAGTATTGCTAACAAAAACTACACTTCTTACCTGTTAATACTACCATGTCCTCTTTTGGGCTGGTTTCTTTTTATAACAGATTCACAAAGTTAAAATCTCCCATTATTTCTCAACCTTATTTCTTAAGGTCTTTTTCTTTAATGCCTTATGTTTAATCTAACATCCATGACACCTTCACCTATCCTCTATAAAACTATTGAGCAATCACCATTAAAAAGATTTATTGGGTCAATCATGTATCTTTTATTTCTCTTTTACAAATAAAGACCTCAGTTAATAGGCATAACTTCGATGTAGAATTTATTTTGGGAACATGCTATCAGGTCTCAGGGGCTTACTCAAAACAGTGAGTGTTTCATTGGCCTCATTTCCTAGGAAATTATTTTCTCTCTTTAGAAAGTTAAGCAATAACAATATCAATAGGTATCAATATCATTGGTATATAACAATATAATAATCTCAAGCAGATATAAATGTGTATTTATATTTTTCATATTTTTTGTATAAAATATGGTACTTGAATCTTTTTTTTTTGGTTTTTCTCTGGTACTGGGAACCGAACTCACGACCTTGCGCTTGTCAGGCAGGCGCTTTTGCCGCTGAGCTAAATCCCCAGCCCCTGGTACTTGAATCTTAATGTGCATTTTAAAGTTCTTAATGTTTCATTTTATAATTTGTATTTAAAATCTTAGATCTTTTAATGAACAGTAAGGTGCTCAATGATTCTAGCAACTCAGCATAAGAGTTCAAAGCTGAAGACATGGGGTTCCTGAAAGAAGAGGGCATAAACTTTCTGAGTTAAAAATAAGTTCATGAGTGGGTTCCTCTGCCTGGCAGCTGCCTCCTCACACCTTGGCTTTGCCAAAGAGGAAAAACTAGACTGAGACCCAGGACAGACCGGTCCTGGACTTGCAGGTACACACATGCCTTTGGAGGGCAAACCACTGGAACTCAGGAGACCCAGGACAACTGGTCAGGGCTTGCAGAGTGATCAGCGAGACTGGCGACGTGGAAATGTCTGAAGAAGCAGTGAGGAGCCAGCAGCTGGGCTCTGGAGAACTCCACCAACAGAAGACCAGTCCCAGCCTCCACGTCCAGAGGCCAAGATCAGTTCCATTCCCAGCATGATTCCCATGGCAAACTTGGCTGGAATACACAGCACGTTTCTGGGATCTGACATGGACACTATTGCAGAACTATAAACACCAGAGATATTTTGCTACATTCATTTTCCCTTGTTTGTCTGGTTGGCTATTAGTTTTCTGTCTGGTTGGAAGTTGTGTTGTTTGCCTTGTACTTTGTGGTTATTTTTGTTTTTGTTTTCATTTTTTTTCTCCTCTCTAGGGTCTACTTTTTCTTTCATTTCTTGTTTTCTTCCTTTCTTTTCCATTATCGTTCTCTTTCTTCCTACTTTTTTCACTGTTTATGTTTCTGACCTGTTTTTTCATTTTCTTCTACTCATCCTCTTTCTCTCTTTCTTCAACTACTTTTTGAATTAAAACTTTCAAGTAGTAAACATTGTCTCTTCCCTTTCTGGTTACTGCTCTGCATTCTATTTCATTCTTTCCCTCCTGTGTCCTCCAGTTTCCCAAAACTCGGGTGATTATCCTTTGACCTCCAGCTTTGGCTCCTCTTTTTTTGACCTCATTCATCACTGTATACTGTCCCCTACCCATCTTAACCCTCCAACCTCCAGAAAAAGGGTAAAATCACTCCACTAAGGGGGAAAATCACTACATATAAGTACATGGTATATATTTGATTTTGTTATATAACTTTAGAGTTTGCTCCTGTGGTTGCAGGTAGCAGGTTAATGGTTATCATAGTTAGTTTGTCAGTAGTTAAGCTACACTTGAAACTACTGTTATTACTAACTGCACTGCTTTAGCCAGGATATCATACATGTTATAATCAGTTTTTCTCCCCTGTATGATAACACTGTGATTGTATGGGGTCATAATCACAACCACAAGCCAGTATCAAAGGACTGGGTGCTGAACCAAATAGTAACATTGCATCCTTTACAAATTAGGAAAGTAGGTTTTTGGGATAGCTATAAAGAACCTGTGACATCTAGAGGACATCCCTGAAGAACAGACATCTCCTAGGGAAGCCTGAATACTAGTGATAAACTTATCACAAGAAATTGGCAGTTATTGGGATAGCTATAAAGAAGCAGCTAAATCTAGAGGACATCCCTGAAGAACAGACATCTCCTAGGGAAGCCTCAATACTAGTGATAAAGCTACCATAAGAAATTGGCAAGCATCAACACAGAAAGCAAAACAAAATAAAAAAGGGAAAACAGCAAACGACAAGACCCAGAAGGAAAATGCAACCCCAGACTCCAAGTCTACTCATGACAAGCCTAGAGCACAATGAGATAGATTAAACTGGAAGTCAAACACTGGAACTTTCTGAAAT